TGAATGTTAAGCAAGTATTATAAATTTAAAGGAAAATTAAAAATATAATGTATTTACTTATACGATTCCACAAATCTTCTGGAGTTTCATTTGGTGAACAATAAAAAAATCCTTCCAATTTCCTCAAAGAACATGATCTCAATAAACACAAAAAAATCAGCTTTATTACTTGTAAGATGTAACGCCTTTTAATTTCATAATTAAAGCCTTATGCAATGAGTAGCCTATCTCTCTCAAGAAATTTCTTTCCTCGCATTTTAGTTATAATTCAGAAGGTACTGATTGCAATTAAAATAACCTGCATTTATATTTGTTTTTTCCTTATTTCTACTCTATTTGCACAATACAGACTTGTGACTATCATAGTTTCAAACTTATGTGGAAAATTGATCGCAAATCGTTTTTATCTATCTAAAAATTACGTGCCCTATTCTATTTAGCTTGAGCTATTGAAGCTAATGTAACACATTTTTCAGACCTACCAATTTCAACTTGAGCCTCATATAAAATTGGAACAGAATACATAATCACTGATATTTGAATTTATATATGTGGGATATATAAATTTTTATTTTAGATTATTCTGTAGGACTACATATTCACTCGAATAAACTAAAAAGTTCTAAAAAATTGGTAAAACTAAATTTACTCTGTTATTGAATTATATTTATCTAATTGAAATATATAATTATTGGTTAACACTTTACAATAATATCGAATATTTATTATTTGGTGGAATGTCCTAAGTAAACAGAGTATATTTAACACAGCTACATATCTAAAATTATCTACGTATAGGTATGAAAAATAAAACAAACATAAGGGACATATGTTCTGTCCTCTTCTGATTACTAATACTTTCTTATCGGGAAAAGAAGGCCAGAAGGCATTTTAATGTTGTCGTTAAAGCTTTACATTAAAATTTAGCATGGAAACTACGACAAATATGAATACTAATTACTCATAACTAACTCGTATAATATATTAATTCTGTAGATTTTAGTACTTTTACATCTGTCGATAACTTTTACTTTGTTTTATCTTCCTTGTAGAAATGGTACAACCGGGGTGAAGGGAAGATACTCTACTCAATTCTGTTATAAAATGTGATAATTAGAAGTATCGTAACGTAATTACTATAGAACAGAGAATGTGGCAAGAAGAACCATGCTGTTTTTTTTTCAATTTATGTGTTTATCGATTTCTTGTAGATAAGTAACGACAGTCGTTAAAATATTGATCCTTTTGATATACCTCGGAAAGAAATTTTGTGCTGTTTACATTAGTTAATGCGGATCGTTTAACGTGAATAGCTCGTAAATGGTAACAGATGTAGAACCACTTTCACTTCAGCAATGTAATAAAAATATCTAGGTACTTAACAATTTTTTATTAAATATTCATTAATTTTCTCATTAAATTTAGAATATGTTCCAGCACGTAGCAAATGAAAATAGCATGAACAGAGCAAATGAATTGTTATACTTATTGGCGCCTTCCTATGGTGCATCCAAGAACATGGGTAGGTACTTGGTCATATAACAATAATTGTAAACCCTACATGGTGCAAGAACATGCTATATGTAAGTTGTTCAGAAGAGGCAAAAGAAGTTTTTTGCCTAAACTATATATTATATTATATACTAGTTTAAAAGGATGCTCCTCTGTAAGATAGATATTTAGTGGCCAATTGACTATTTTAGTGTGACGTCACATATTTAGGCAACCCGTAACAAACTGTCATAGTTGAAATTGCACAGACTAAATCTGAGCCTTGTGCACTATTTACATAGATACTATACAGGGTGTTTCATAATTAGCTGCCAACCCTGAACAGGCCGATTCTATGATCAACACTAAGTAAATTACTATGAAATTGACCAAAGTGGGATTAATTCAAGAGCGATTTTCTCAGAAACCGTTAAAGATAACGATTTGAAACAAGAGTACCTTTTTAACGTAAAACAGTTCGGGAAAACGGAATTTGCTGTCCAATTTGTTAAAAAGTCAAAGATGAAAAAGTTACACACGCAAAGTACCAAGGGNTTTAGATCACTAGACTCTTTTAGTGTGACGTCACATATTTAGGCAACCCACCACAAATTTTCATAGTTGAAATTGTACAGACCGAATCTGACCCTTGTGTACTATTTACATAGATAAGTACTATAAAAATAAACAACTTTAAATAAATTTATTTTTACAAGGATTTAGAAGTATTTAACCAACACGTGGTTCGTAAAATAGATACACTAATATGTTTAAAACTTGCAAAAAAACGATATAAAAATATTCCTAAATTTAAATAAAGTAAAAATTTGTTAATCCTAATGCGCATGCTCGGAAGGAATAGCCTCATACGCAGGTGAAATCTTGTCGATATGTCATCGCTGTCAGCATATTTTCTCTTCTTTTGTTAATCTTAGCATTTTCTAGTTCTACTAAGTATTTTTTGTTTTTCTTGGTGTTGGGCTGTGTCAGTGTATTTATCGAGTGTTTTTTTCTTCAAGTAGTTTATTATAGACGTTCTCTTAACCATAACCAAACTTTTCTTAAATTATATCCTGTTGCGAGGTTAAGTATTTAACGTAGTGGTCGTAGGTAAAGTATAGTACGTAATACATGGTGTAATGCAATTACGCACTCATAGAATTACGCACTCGCCGCTACGCGGCGTCGTGCGTAATTTTCCATTCGTGCGTAAAATGCTTTTTACAACACTTATTACGTAATATACTATTAATGTGCATGCTCAGTGACATTAACAATTTTAATTTATTAATTACTATAAAAGTCAATATTGTTCTATAAATTTAAATATATCAATTTTATAATTCTTTAAGTTTGTTACTGGAATTTGAAACTTCTTAAATATTTCTAATTTTATACTCTTAACGAATATCTAAATTTTTTTTCTAACTTTTTTAACTGTTTTTTAACTGTTAACTATTAACTGTTTTTGTTAAACTGTTTAACTGTATGTTTTTTAACTCTTTATCGGTCATTATCAATTGCTCGTATAATCTTTCTATATCATTACAATTTAGTTGTTAATTTGTGAAAAAATGTACTTACTGATGTATAATTTGTCAATAAAATCTATCTATCTATCTATCTATCTATCTATCTATCTATCTATCTATCTATCTATCTATCTATCTATCTATAATATATTGCCAGAATATCGCGATATTTAAGGTCATGACATAGAAGACATTTTTTTGGACTTATGTCCAGAGTACATAATGTCGAAAATCGATCAAGTAAAAATATTGAGAAATTATTAGGCCAAATATGGCAACCCTATGGGGTTGCCTATTATTTGGCGTACCTATGTGACGTCACTACTAAAAGGGTCTATTCGGTAATGAGCAGCACGCAGGGTTTTGATTAACTTCCATCTGGACAATGTGTACTATGAGGTTGCCTATTATTTGGCAGATGAGACGCCACTACTAAAAAGGTCTATATATTGAATTAATTTTTTATTAGATGCCACTCTGACAAAGCTGAATAAACATTTTTTATATAAATTGAAGTGAATTAGTGAATATAAGAATTTTCCCTCACTCTAATGTTAAAAATTTTTTCAACCCGGGAGATCCTGTACCTTTTTAATGCTTAAAAAAAATTCCGCTACAGAAAACGTTTTTCATTACACTATAATAAAATTAACTATTTTGTATCGTAAACTAATTCATTTATGATTAAATGTAGTTCCAGTTGTTTTAAAGACATTTGTTTGTACACGCAAATCTTTAATTTTATCAAAAAAGGGATAACATGGAATTTCAAATTTTGAAAACCATATTCTCAGGTTTGTATAAAAGGAGACATACATATAATAAAGAGAAAAAAAAACATATTTTAGTGTAATTTTTAAAACATTTAAAATACCAGTATTTTTAGCACTTTATTTTGCTGGTACAACAAAAGGTCTCTATTTTAAGGTTATTTTAAAATCAAATTTTTTGAGCTATGTAGGAATGAGTACATTAAATCAAACAAATAGGTAAAAACCTAATGTCATACTTTTTTTAATAATACAAACTGTTAAATGATGAGTTCGGGTTATTGTTATTGCAAGCACCGTTCTCAACAAACACGTCAAGGCATTCTTTGCGAGGTCTTAATTAGCAGTTCAGTGACATACATGTTTTGTTTGAAACGCCTATTAAGTGATTGACAAATGCTCGACTTATTTGATATTCTCTGCGGTCTCCGTGGGATTACAGAATGTTTTCATGTAGTAATATTGTGCGGTACCGCGAATGTGACACATTGACCCAGCACTGGTCTTAACGGACTTATAAATACTTCTCCCACATTCCTTCAGCTGGTGTTAGCTTGCAATTTTGCTAATTCTTTGCCTGTAAAATGCTAGTTCTGACCTTATTTGTATGAAGCCCAACAATGTTTATATATGTAAATTATGACGATGATGGTGCTTATACAATGTGTCTTTGAAATGGTGTAACAGTATTCACAAATATGGAATAAAAAGTTCCTATGAGCATGGCCAGCAAATGCATAATTAGGGAGCTAGAGGCCTTAGAAGAGTACACTTACAAAGTTAGGTAACGAATATGTTAACACTTGTATAAATTATCTTATGCTAAAATGTAGCAATAAAGTTTATTGTTAAAATCTAATAATATTTTCTTGAAAATGATTATTATAAAGTAATTTTAATTCCACTATTAGATTGTAAATTTAGGTACACACCAAAATTGAAAATATGTAATTATAGTACCTCAATGTGAATGAGGTATCTATGTACATACGTATATTTAAAAAGTTATTTTTAATCATTTATAGCGCCTGCCATAGGCAACAGACATATCGCGAGGACGCATTACCAGTTGCCTGAATTCAGGGGTCCGTAAAGTGTCTCAAGTAAGCTCAAGGATTTTCGAAGTTGCAGGCAGCGCTAAAAGATGCCACTGAAATCTCTGAAAGCTTCCGACTTTTTTCGTTGGCTTAAAATGGTGGCCTGTCAAAGTAACAGAACGTATCTAGGGCGGGGAGTTATTACAGTTCCGTGCGATCTAATTTCGTATAAGCGTAAATTAATGCGTTAAAAATATTCGTGTACGTGATGAACCCTTAAAGATGTATTTGTTAATTGTGCTCCATTGCAGTTCCGTGGTCGTGACACAAAGTGCTTATTTTAATTAGTGTGTAAGTGTGTGTGTGTATGTGCAACATCGTAACCAAAGGTAAACAATACAGTTTTCATCTCTTTCCCACGTACAAAATAGAGAAAGAAATTTGTCATGATTGTTAAATTAAATTAAATTCCCATATTCGCGCATACACCTCGCATTTTCAATCTAAATTGTTTCAAAAGTTTTTTTATCAACTTTCCCTTGGCCGAGGGTTAATCAATGTTAAGGTACTATGAAGTCTTTATATAATAGTTGTTCTAAGGGCGCAGGTTTCAATTATTGTTGAGGAAAACCGTTTCTCGTAAATACGTGGTAAACGTTCTTCAGTTAGATGTTTTCTAATTATAAAAAAGTGGTCAGAAAATCAATCCAGTGTTCCTTGAACATAGGCTGCGATTGTTTAAAGACAAGGGGAGTTGTTGAAAGAAAGTTACAACAACAAAGTACTAAATAGAATGGATTAATGCTGCGTAATTAACGTGTAAATCTTAAAATAAGATTGCTTGTGTTACAAATATTCTATTTAGATATTTACAAATACGAGGTCAAGCAAAAGTAACGGTGTTAAATGTGTGGGCTGTTTGATTAGATAAAAAAATTGTTCAGCTAAATACTTAATCCAATAAATTTTATAAACATTTCTGAAAAAAATAACATTTATTTAGATGGTGGTTGCTTTTTTACCCATCAGACATCAACGGCGGTGTGTGATAAGGAGATAACTAAAAATCTCGATGTTGCAAATTAGCATGAAATTCACGAAATTAAACAGGAATAAAATAATAATGATCCATCTCATAGGTATGTATCTACCTACCAGGGTTAGTTAGGTACTAATCCGTGCAAATCAGAACCGTATCTAGGTACTTAGGAGGATTCATTGATCATAATAAATGTAAGATTATCAGTCTGCCTCTATTCAAAAGTCAACGCCTGCTGAGATAGCCTTTAAATTTAGTTTTGCTGAACCACATTTTCATTTCATTAGACGCTGACGTTTGAACAAGGGTAAGTTAGTCCAAACCGTAAAAAATATTTGTTCGATATACATCTAATACAAATTTACAAAAAAGAGTTAAAGTTTATTTAGATTAAAATGCTTCAAGGACTCAAATGTCCGTAATTAATTATGTAATTGACAAGCGGCCTTAGAAAGTTGCAATCCATTTTTCCTATGATGGAGAGCATTTTAGCGACATGCAACAAGTACTTATATCTTTCGCACAGTAAATCTTTTACAGAAAAAGTTTTGGATTAAAAGTGAGCTTATATTGACATTAGGCTAACTCGGAAACTGTGCTATAGGTACCAATTTTCATTTAAAGGATCGTAAAAAGAGTAAAAAAATAAATAAAAACAGATTTTATAAGTAACGGTCTGAAAGTTATGAAGGAAACAGGATTGTAGCAAGGTAATTTCATCTAAATCCGTTTATTTTCATGCAAGGAAACTACTCTTAAAGTCTGGCCCATTCATATAAATAGATACTTACGAAGCAAGTCGATTGGTAAACCGCTAGCGTAAAATTTTGTAAACGAATGCTAATTTTCTGTCTAATGTCTTTAAATTTCGATGTAATGCCATTTAATGCCTTAGTAATATATACCTTTGGATGGTAATGCCCTTGCAACACCTACCAATGCCTTGTTATTCCCCTAAATTGTCACTAGTTGCGCTTTTAAAATAAAATGAAATTTTATGTGACATGTGAGCTTATAAGCGTAGCTAAACGCCTATTCTTACGGTAAATTTACAACAATTTCACGACAAATTTATAAAAAATCTTCAAATTGGATTTGGGAGGTAAACCGTTGTGCAGAAGATCCAAGTCCTACTGGACATTTCAAGGCATTAGAAATTGGTAGATAAATTTAAAATATAATTTAGGTACAGATGTGGCAAAAGAAGTTTCCGGCCTAAGACGATTAAAGGCAGTTTAAATTGGAAATATTTTATTGGCCACAACTGTATGTCTAGGTACCTTGATTTATTCACATACTCTAACTAATAATAATGAAGCTAATAAAAGTACAGCATTTTTTTTTATTTTTATATAGCTGGGGAGTGTTTACACAAAGATATAATATGTACATTAATAGGAATTTCACTTTGAAATGAAAAAAATGCAGTGGGTTTAGAGGATTGATTTTGTAATAACATTTCTGACTAAAGAAGGGTTCAACCGTAGGTATTTCTATTTTGATAACAGTTCAGTATTATCTACCCACTAATTCATTAGAAATTATTGAATGAAATACTATTTCAAAGACCTTGGGTAAGATAAGATAAGGTATTGGTTGATATTTAAGGTTATATGTGTAGATACCTTTATTACTATATTCGATATTATGCTCGATATTGTATTTCCTCATCACAGTTATAAACAGTATAGGATTTAACTTCGGATTTAACGGATATCCACATCTTGAAAATTTATAATGAATTAAGTTGATAAATCAAATAGAATCAGTATACAAATATGTTTTTTTTTCTTAACAAGTTTTAAATTTTGGTAATAAATTCCACAAACTAGATAGGGTCCGTTATAGATCGCATCATCAGGAATGTTTCTACCCTTGTTTCATCGAAACTTATTCGCAGCGGTGATAAAATATCTTAGTCTGAAGAGAACGACCGTTCGACATTTACTGATGTAATATTTGCCTAATTAAATAATCTACTTCCAAGCTGGTCTTGGAGAGACGAAACGTTACATATAAAAACTGATTATGTCATTCGATAGAGGGCAAAAAGTTGTCATGAGAAAGTGTTCGTCTTTTTTCAATCACCTCAAACAAGGCTGAAATTAAACAAAAACGGATTCAAATATTTCGAAAACTAATCACGTTAGCCTCGATTTTTAGAGGCATAATGTTGGTCCCCTGATTACGCAACATTGCCCCCATTTATATATCTCACTGTTTCCGAGATCCCTGTAGTGAGAAGCAAATTTGTAACAGCCTGTAAGTATGTATATACCTACTGAATTATATTATATTTCAAAATTCTAGTCCGCTTTTCAACATTGGCTAAAGCGTCGATTTAATTTAATCTTACGTAAGTAAATTTAACAAATGCAAAAGTTATATGGAAGGAAACATTTGTATAGACTGTTATTATTACAATAAATAGAAATTAAGAAAAATATCGTCCATCTTAAAATTCAGCCCAGTAATCATATTCGGTGAGTTTTTCGTTAAATATTTGAACATTATCTAATAGTATTGTTGGTGGTATTAAATACAAAGCTATTAATCATTGTTGTGTATTTATAATAGATGTGGTATACGGCAGTGTACTATTACCCTCTCAATTACCCCTATACAAGTTAATAAGGGTACAATTATATTTATTTAAGTTAACCGCTTAAATACAGTATAAACAATGCTGATGGTCATATTGAATACATTAAATAACGATTAGAATGAACTATAAATATACATTTCTAGTAAATCTATAGTAAAAATAGCAACAGCATTTCGAAAGCCACTCTACTCGGATCCCTACACCTCATATTTCACAAAACTAAGTAAATATCTGCAATTTGCTAATGTAACTCGGCAACAGATGTTACCGAAGTGCCAGTGTGTTGCGTTGGATTCAGCATCAATTTGATTCTTGCAGCAAATACATTAGATCATAATTTTTCAGGCCTTGCGTTGAAAATTAAATGGAAAATTGAATATCTACATTATAGCGAGTTCTGTTGGCCAATTTGTAAACGAACAACTGGTATTGAATAGTTGTTTATGGCATAAAAGTACATGTGAATAAAAAATCGAATACAACAGGTAACAACCTTGTAACAAAGGAGTAATTTTTAACCTTTCTTTTTTTAAACACGTAAATAATGAATATAAAGTAAATTGTAAAAGAAAATTGAATGTTAAGAAATTGAAATATTAAACGGGCTCATCATTATTAATGTACTGATTGTGAGTAAATACAGATTTTTGCAGGGCTAAGATTACTGACAAAAACTGCACATCTGGTTCGTAAATCTGACAACTCTGTACTTTCATTACTTATTTGAAAGAAAATTTAAAATTTTTCAGACAGATTTATTTTTATTATATAAGGACTATGTTGCAATATCGTGTATATGGAAATCTTAAATCACTCATTTCGTACATTATTTTCAAAGTAATGCATATTCACGACGATAAATAAATACGATCTACGAAAAAAAGTTAAATATAAACTTTTTGGTTTCTGAGTTTCTGAGCCTTGAAAGTTGTCAAAAATAAAACTAATTTAATTAAGAACTTCATAACCCTTTTACCGATCGCGTTAAAATTTGGCACATTTATTTGAATTATTATAGTGTATTATTTCTCAAAGCTTTAGTCAAATCGATATACTGGGTGATAGTTTTCTCCGGTTACCTCTCCCTTTTAGCGGTGAAAACTTTTACAGTGGTCGTATTTTTTTAAAACGGGCAGCAACATTGAAAAGGTAGTTTTATTAAAAAAAAAATATTGCCTCTTAAGAAAATCGCCTACAGGAAGCCATTCCTGAGAAAAATGGCATTATTTGCAGGTCTGTACGTTTGAAGGCCTTCAACTTAAAAACCAAAAAGTTTTTATTTAACTTTTTTTCGTAGATCTTATTTATTTATCGTCAAACGTTGTCGGTCAAATTTACGGACACTCTGTATATCTGTTGTCGCAGTTTAGGTATTTAATAATTCAGTATAAAAATTTTAATACAAATATTTAATATCGATTTCAGAAGCAATTACTTTTCAGAATATTCTTTTCAAATTTGTAGCATTAAAACTTTTATTTGTATATTAATAATTAATAGATGAATTATTAATTATTACATCATTATTTACTAATAATAATTAATAAATAATTTTCTAATAATTACATATTCTAGATAGTGAAGTGTACCTGTATATGTTTAAAAATACGTACACATTCTAGATACACCCTGTAAAATGTTGGATTCATAAAGTACTGAATGACGAAATCAAAAATAAGTACTGGTGAATGTAATTTCCGGTCACTATCAAAGAAACGTTTCTAATGTGTCTTGTCATTTTCTGTAAAAAAATTAAAATTTTCGAAGAATTGTTGAGAAGTTGTACGCACGCATTCGTAGAATATTTGTGTAAAATTTCACTCTTATACATTTTTTTGGTTTTCAAATTAAAGGCGTTATTCCATATTTTTTTGGAAACTTTGAGAGACTGTATATCCTAAGGGGTGAACATTTTACTAAGGTAATTTTTACGCAAAATTTGTTCTTTGTAGCTGTAGATTTGCCAGTACCATTTGTTCTATTTTTTTAAACTTCGGTATGTAATAAAAGAATTTGGGATCACCCTGTACATACAGAGTGTCCCGGAAGCAACGGGCTGTAGTTCAAAGGATGAAAATAAACTGATTTGGTTCAAGTAACCTTATTTTCGTTTCTTTAAAACCGACATACATTTTATTATACCATTTTTTTTTAGATATTTTTGTGAAATTTGGTACGGGGGGTTTTTGAGGTGGTCTTGGTTAGTGCATCTCTCCCGGTTTCGAAAATTCAATACCTATGTATGTTTTCAGCCACGAAAATTGAATATTTCCCAATATTTCGAATTTTCACCACGAAAAACTGCAGTGACAACATTTTCAACAGTAAGGCAATACTTCGCATTATTTTAGCTATTTGGTACAGGGACGGGTTTTTTTTTGAGGTAGTCGAAGCTGTCGAACACACTTATTTACTTATTTTTCATCAAATTTTTTTATTGGTTAATTGAAAATATCAGTTTTAGGTATTCTCTCCTTGTGCTTCTTTTGTGTCTAAAAATCGTATGCTTCCAATTGACACATCAATTGAATTGAAGCTTGAACTTGTCAAGAACCGCGTCGATCGACTACACACAATGAAAATTTAGGAAATACCTGGGGATATACATTAGTTGAGTATAGGACATACTAGAGGACACAAAAGTCACGGAACCGCCAACTTTTATTTTTCAAAAATATAAAATAAGTGCATTCAGTAATAAAAAGAAATTACTAAATTAGAATCTCGAAAGAATAAGTCGAAAGTTTGCCTTCAACTTTAAAGTCCTTCATTAACTTATCCTTAGAAAGTGTTTTATGAGTTAAATAGCTGCCAAGATCAACATAGTGCAACAATTTCTGCTTAATAATAATTTATGGAGCCGCCTTTCAGTGTTGACCTAAACATATTAATGAGCTCAGCTTTTAATTACCCATAATAATAGTGCAAATGGTTCCAAGCTGCCCATAAATTTCCCACTGAATCTTGGCTAATGTGATTCTCCATTCAATTTATATTCGAGATACCTGAAATTATAATTTTATGATCTGTCGTCGGAAGTGTGTCAAGGAGCCCGGCTTGTTCGAATTTACCGAAACGAGATTTATTTCGTCCGAGGTTTTATGTGGCTGGCATTATACGAGAGAATGTTTATTTTAATATGCGAATTTAAGAGTGTTTTTTTTTTTACTTGTGCGCACTGTTAACCGTGCTAAAAATAGTTCAAGAAATGTGCAAATTTCCCCGAGATTGAAAATGGTGTGGCTGCATTAAAATGATCTATTTCTCTATCTATAAACATTTTTGTTTTTTTTTTCTCTACAACGCTGACTGGGATCTTTTGTTCGTAGGAAGAGATTATTTTAATTGAAATATTGCACGCTTGTTATGACATAATTAGTAAAGTGAAGTTAAGGTAAACTTCATAGTTTTCCTTTAGTTTTTTTCATTTATGCATACTAAATGAAAAAATAACCTCTTGTATAGTTTTTCCGAAGTCAGTTCACACCATATTCCGCATTGCTGCACTGCACTGCTAGGCAATTTGTCAACCACTTGTCAACAACTCAGATTTATTGTCCAGTCGAGCAGTGCGGCTGTATTATAAGCCGTTTGCCCGCGCACGCATTCAACTGGGCGTATACATTTCTCCACGTTTTGTTCGACCAGACATGTATATGAGTATGGCTAAATAAATATGGGAACAAGTATTTAAAGAATGTCTGAATTAGAGAGAAATAAATAAGTGACCAAGATTGAATTAAATGTATGACACATTGGGGTACCACCGTGAGATTTACAGTCCTTCGTTTCACCCAGGTGCTAAAAAAAAGAGGCCTGGATCAGGGGAAGTCAGCCTGGTCCCTACCGCCCACTAGTGGGCGGTGGAGTTTTTTCTGGTACCGAAGATTAAATTTTCTGTGTATTATAAACACACGCAAAGTATAGATAAAGAGTTAAATTTAACCACATAATTTTTCTAAACCTCCACTCAAAATTATGAGTACTTTTCAGTTGCGCTAAATTAAATTACTACAGAAGTGGTGGGCAGTAAGGAAATTTTACTACTAACCACGATACATAAGTAGACGGTAGATATATTGCCTACTCCTTGTCTTCATTTTCAATATTCAACTCTCAATTATTGCGTTTCATCTTGTAGTCATATTTTAATTAAAACAATCGCTAACCAATTTTTGTAAAATTTGATACTGAAACAAAATTATAAGTGAACTTTGAAAACAGATTAAAATGTTATGTGATTTAATAGACTTTTAAGGCTCTATTATAAAAAAAATTAAATAGATCGATGTATACCTTCTTTATAAGAGTTTTTCCTCTTGAAATTTGTTACACTGTAGCACTCTTTCCAGAGAAGGAATTAATAAAATTCATAAAGATATTTGGCCCTTGAACAATCCACATGCAATTATATCGCGCCATTTTCAGTACATATTCAATGTAAATATTATGTTTAATGGAATTATTAACCCCTAACTTTCCAAATAAGTCAGGCCAATACCGTAACAATCTAGATGTCCTGACCTATGCCCCTATGACTTGTATATACGAGGTCGGTTTAATATAAGCAATTGGAATAGGAAGTGTACATAAATGATCGACACCGGTTAGTAAAAACAACCCCAGAGAGCGCAATCTGTATTTCCTTTCTTAAATTATCTCGTCATATGATACTTTTAGCATAAATAAAATGTGTACATTTACTGATTGCACCTAATGCTGACGTTTATTTTTAGTTTCAGGTATCCTCATGGTATTATAAAGAAAATTGGAGGTAATAATGCGGTCCTCGGTTGTAAAAACGCCCAAAAAGACAGTAAAACCCGCCACAAAAAAGTCGGTATCATCTAAGAGGAAAAAGATGGCAGATCTGAAGTCTCCAATTCGCGACACTATATCCGAAACCATATCGTTCGTTATCAAAGGTAAACTGACTCCCATCAAACCTATAATGATCGATAATAAACTCGACTTAATAACTAAGACCAACAAGAAACCTCAGTGCGGAAAGGTAGTCAAAATGCGCACATGCAGGAAACAAGGAACCAACGTAATTCCCAAGAAACAAAAAGATTCTAAAGCCAAAACAAAAGTTCAAATCAAAGCTGCCAAGAAACCAAGTGCCCAGATATTAAAAAAAAGTGCCGAGACAGTTTTAACGGATGTGATACCAACAACACCAAAAGAGAAGAACAAAAAGGATAATAAGAGCGAGAAGAAAAAGTTGATTCCTAAGAAACCACCGTCTAAATTGAAAGCCACCAACGCCGCGAAAAAACCTAAAAAAATATCTGGGAAGAAGGCAAAACTGAAGGAGCAAAGCAGTAATGCCGAAGTGTCTGACACTACTGACAAACAAGCGGATGAGATAAAGAAGCAGCGGACTATAGAGAGTCTTCTAAAGCAAGCCAGTGAGGAAATCACCAAAGGATCCTCGAAGAAAATTGCCGCGAAAATACGGAAAGGTAAGAAAGGAAAAAGTCAACCTAAGGAAATACCACCGAAAGTGGTTAAGAAAAGTCCTGAACCAGAACCTGTTAAACCAGTCGATTATACATCTGACGAAATTTCCCTTAAAGAACTCTCAGAGCGCCAACCAGAAAGCGCTGTAGCTTTGAGTGTCGACAAACCCGAAGTAAAGGCCAAACCTACTCCAAAAAGGAAAATTAAAACTAAGCCAAAGATGACTCTAATAAAGAAACGCGTGATGGCTTCAAAAAATAAGAATAGCAAGGAAGAAAAATGCAAAACGAAATTATTTGGGTTCTGGAACGGTCCCAAGAGGCACCGCGTTGCCTCTCTCAACGCTTTAGCTAAAGTTCATTGCCTCTACGAAAACGAGACGCGAGGCAACATGCTGGACATAATCGACGAGCCCAGCATTAAAAAAGAACATATTTCTAGAAAAGAAACCTGGAGAAAAGACCCGGCTAGAGTCGCCATTAAAAAGGAACCAGTCGTGAAGGACGAGCTGGGGTCAGACTCTGAGGATAACTCCGAAGTAGAGATTCCCACCAGGACTCTGAGAAGTCTTCCTGGACTTCGCGCCGTCGGTAAACATTGGGACATGCACGAGACGTCCTCAAGCTCCGATTATAACAGTGGCAACGAGAGTAGCAGCGAAAGCATTCCTGTTAAGATAAAAAAAGAGAAAATCGTTCAGCAAGGCCAGGACAGTGACAGAGGCGAAGCTGAAATAAAGGATAAGAAACGAAGGCGCAACCGTAATGAAATTATGATGGACCTTAAGGACATGGTGGTCAGGAAGAGGATGGCAAGCTTGAACGCCAGTGCTATTCTTGCTGCGAGTTACTCGGTAGAGAAGCGGGCTTCCAAGTCTCAGAGAGGCGCTGACGAAGACAGTTGTTCGAGCGACAGCGGGTCTTCTGAGGATTATTTCGCGGCATCCGACGATGACACGAAAGATGAAGATGATGTCAAGAAAGAAGAGGATAGGAAGTTGATCGAGGTACACACCACACCTAACAAAAAGGTAAGGTCCCAGAACATTAATATAACTTATTGTTAGACATTTAGAGTTAAATTATTATTAAATATTTTTAAAAACTTTTCATTGTTCCATCGGTGGGCAGTAAATGAACGTTAGTACGTTTTTTGTTAAGAAGATAAAAAGGTTTTAATTTCTTTTACGGTTATAACACCTGGTCCACATTATTAGAAAACTATGTTCGTTATTGAGTTAGCTTTAGTGTTAGTCCACAGTACAGGCCCCCCTGGAAAGTTGATTACCACATACTTTTAATGAGTCTGCCACATTTTTCCTCTGCGACTTATCTCGATTCCTCCGCTTTTCCACTCGGGGGTCTTGAAAAGTCAAGACCACATCTTTTATTTTTAGCTTAAGTAACTGGAAATTTTGTTGCAAATGCCGATTTAAATTTGTCCGACAGAAATTCTTCCGACATTGACGTGTCTACCGGTCGAAACATGCCAAAATAACTGGGTATTGAAAATCAATTACCACATAGGTAATTTTTAGTAAAATTAATTGTAAATAATTAATTCAGTCAAAAAGTATTGTTGTCCTACAAATTTCAAGTCGCGTTTTTTCAGTCCGACAGCTGGAAATCGGAATTTTCACGGGGTATGATAAATCGATTATCACATGTCGGACAAAACTAACACACGATAGAAAAGTGTTTTTTATAAGCAAAAATTGTAATGTCCGACAAAAATATATCAGCAAATCGTCAGTTCGACAAAAAATGTTGAAAAAAAAATCGGAAAAAAATGTGCACATGTATTTCTAATAAGTATTTTCATGTATTAAGCAAAATTCCATATAGGTGAGGACGACAGAAAATAAGAATTTTTTGTCATATGAACTATATGTCTATCTCCTCTTCTCAAAGCTCAAGCTTACTTTGAGAAAAGTCACTTATTTTATGGTGTAATATTGTAAGAGTTTAATTAAAAGCCTTTTTTTCTCGAAAATCGTCCACATTAGGAAATTCTAACAAGAGTACATTATTTTTAGAAAATAAAATTGTACAATAGAAATTGGAGCCCGACTGGTAAAAAAACCTAACCTTAAAAAAAATATAACTAAAATTGTAATAAGAATGTATCATAACTAGTGCTTTCTATGAAATATACAAAAAATAATTAGACTAGCGTATTTGGCACCCTTAAAAACCTCGGACTACCAAATTTCATAAAAATATTTCGCACCATTTGGAAATTTTCATAAAAATTTTATTTAAAAAATTTTATTTTGTCTCTCTGTATCTCGAAAACAAGAGGAGATAGACATAGAGTTTATCCTTTATTTACGGGAGGTCTTTCTGAAACACCCTGTATATATTTTTCGTTTTATTCTTGTAATTGTAAATCTCTATATGCTCAATTTAGCCAAATAAATATCGAGAAAAGAATTAAACGATTTCAAAAAAGTATGTATGGTGTAAAAATATTATGCACAAAAGTTTTGGGATTTNTTAAAAACCTCGGACTACCAAATTTCATAAAAATATTTCGCACCATTTGGAAATTTTCATAAAAATGTTATTTAAAAATTTTTATTTTGTCTCTCTGTATCTCGAAAACAAGAGGAGATAGACATAGAGTTCATAAGACAAAAAATTCTAATTTTTTGTCATACTATCACCCCCTTTATTTACGGTAGGTCTTTCTGAAACACCCTGTAGATATTTTTCGTTTTATTCTTGTGATTGTAAATCTCTGTATGCTTAATTTAGCCAAACAAATATCGAGAAAAGAATTAAACGATTTCAAAAAAGTAAGTATGTATGGTGTAAAAAAATTATGCACAAAAGTTATGGGATTTTCTTTTAGAAAAATAGAACAATTTTTGTAAAGAAAAATAACAAACGCGAATGAAAACTTGAAAGAGAAAAAAGGATTTTTGTGTCAAGTATAATATTAATTTATTTAGAAATAATGCATTATGCACTAAGATCGTATTAATCGCCTCAAAAATAACTTCATTTATTTATAACTTTTAAAATGTAAGCATAAAATAAGCAATATTATAATTATTTATTTGAAACAAATAATAATTTACATAATAATAATTAATAACCATTTATAAATATGAAATTTTTGGGGTGAAATATTGATTTATTGATTTTTTAATAATTTGGGGCCATTAAATCGTCGGACACTTATATCACTATTTTGTACAGTAAATTTAAAAGTGGAAAAAATGAAAATTAGATATGTGGTAATCGATTTTCCATACCCCGTGAAAATTCCGATTTCCAGCTGTCGGACTGAAAAAACGCGGCTTGAAATTTGTCGGACAACAATACTTTTTGACTAAATTAATTATTTAAGTACAATTAATTTTACTAAAAATTACCTATGAGTATGTGGTAATTGATTTTCAGTACCCTGTTATTTTGGCATGTTTCGACCGGTAGACACGTCTATGTCAGAAGAATTTCTGTCGGACAAATTTAAATCGGCATTTGCAACAAAATTTCCAGTTACTTAAGCTGAAAATAAAAGATGTGGTCTTGACTTTTCAAGACCCCGGGAAATTGCCATGTTTTTGGACTTTTCCGAGTGGAAAAGCGGAGGAATCGAGAAAAGTCGCAGACGAAAAATGTGGTAGACTCGTCAAAACAAAGCGCCTCAGGAGTTATAAAGTATGTGGTAATCAACTTTCCAGAGGGGGCCTGTACTGTGGACTATGTAGGTAAAGATTGTAATTCCGTACCACAGAATATCTTATTAAAAACATGTTTCAAAATCTCAGTCTAGCTTAGACACAGTTTTTTTGTCCTATTTATTTATAGGTCGCTGTGATCCTCAACCAGGACACCGACGTCACCATCACCGGTGTCTACGTGAACAGCACGACGCGTTCGACTCACCACGAGGGCTACTGCAGTATCGCAGGTATGCAGTATAGGATCTCTGCCACCAGCCATACGCAGACTGCCGCCACCGCAGTGGCAACCGAGACGCTACTGCAGAGCTCGTCCAGTAGTGCCCCCGATAACGTAAGTTGCTAACAGAGAATGTCATTCTAATTATCGAACAATGTTTCATTGATATCAGAGATTTTCGGGTCTGTTTGTAGTGAGCAAAGAAAAAATGCTCTTAGTCAAAGTTTGGCTCTAAGGTTCGCCATTTTAATTAATAGAATAGTCTCGCAAAAAAGTCCAAACTTATCCGACACATCATTTCCGATGTATTTTGATGAGCTGAAAACGATACGGTAGTCAGAATTTATACGTCGGAAATGATATGTCAGTTATTATGTAGATCAAAATTAATTTTGGACTAAGAGCAATTTTTGGGTCCGTTGTCACCCTAAATATAGATTTTACAAGATTCTGACCGGTCGTGCATAAATTCTGATTACGGTATCTTTTTTAGCTGGTCAAAATACGTCGGAAACAATATGTCAGATATTATGTAGATCAAAATTAATTTTGGACTATGATAGAGCTATTTTTGGGTCTGTTGTCACCCTAAATGTAGATTTTACAAGATTATGACCGGTCGCCCATAAATTCTGACTACAGTATCATTTTTAACTGGTCAAAATACGTCGGAAATGGTATGTCAGTTATTATGTAGATCAAAATTAATTTTGGACTATGCTAGAGCAATTTTTGGGTCCGTTGTCACCCTAAATATAGATTTTACAATATTCTGACCGGTCCTCCATAAATTCTGACTACGGTATCTTTTTAACTGGTCAAAATACGTCGGAAATGATATGTCAGATATTATGTAGAGCAAAATTAATTTTGGACTATGATTTTTGGATCCGTTTTCACCCTAAATATAGATTTCACAAGATTTTGGTCCATAAATTCTGACTACGGTATCTTTTTAACTGGTCAAAATACGTCGGAAATGATATGTCAGATATTATGTAGAGCAAAATTAATTTTGGACTATGATTTTTGGATCCGTTTTCACCCTAAATATAGATTTCACAAGATTTTGGCTGTCGTGCATAAATTCTGACTACGGTATCTTTTTTAACTTGTCAAAATACATCGGAAATGATATGTCAGTTATTATGTAGATCAAAATTAATTTTGGACTATGATAGAGCAATTTTTGGGTCCGTTGTCACCCTAAATATAGATTTTACAAGATTCTGACCGGTCGTGCATAAATTCTGATTACGGTATCTTTTTTAGTTGGTCAAAATACGTCGGAAACAATATGTCAGATATTATGTAGATCAAAATTAATTTTGGACTATGATAGAGCAATTTTTGGGTCTGTTGTCACCCTAAATGTAGATTTTACAAGATTACGACCGGTCGCCCATAAATTCTGACTACAGTATCTTTTTTAACTGGTCAAAATACGTCGGAAATGGTATGTCAGTTATTATGTAGATCAAAATTAATTTTGGACTATGATAGAGCAATTTTTGTGTCCGTTGTCACCCTAAATATAGATTTTACAAGATTCTGACCGGTCGTCCATAAATTCTGACTACGGTATCTTTTTAACTGGTCAAAATACGTCGGAAATGATATGTCAGATATTATGTAGAGCAAAATTAATTTTGGACTATGATTTTTGGATCCGTTTTCACCCTAAATATAGATTTCACAAGATTTTGGCTGTCGTGCATAAATTCTGACTACGGTATCTTTTTTAACTGGTCAAAATACATCGGAAATGATATGTCAGATATTATGTAGATCAAAATTAATTTTGGACTGTGATAGAGCAATTTTTGGGTCCGTTGTCACTCTAAATATAGATTCTACAAGATTCTGACCGGTTGTGCATAAATTCTGACAACGACATCTTTTTTAACTGGTCAAACTACGTCTGAAATGATATGTAAGATATTATGTAGAGCAAAATTAATTTTGGTCTATGATAGAGCAATTTTTTGGTCCGTTTTCACCCTAAATATAAATTTCACAAGATTCTAATTGTCGTGCATAAATTCTGACTACGGTATCGTTTTCAGCTCAACAAAATACGTCTTAAATAATATGTCAGATCTTTGGGTTTGGACTGTTTTGTGTGCTTGATATTCTATTAATTAAAATGGCCAAGCCTAAACATTAGAAGCCAATCTTTGACTAAGGTTGTGTTTTATCGATTATTCGCATCAAAATGAGTAGCACTAGCGTAGTCTACATTTTCGTATCTTCATTACATAAAGTTATATTATCAACAAATGCTTGAATTTAAAATTCCTCTAATTTTGTTTTTAAATAGCACAATCTCAAGAAATTGTAATTTTAATTGGAATTATTTTAAGATCAAACATAATCATAATCACCGATGCTATTTTAAGAATGTGAATTAGAAAACAGATTAATGGGATGGTAGAAAATCAGATTGTATTTTTTTAAGTATACCTACAAGTTCCTCAATTTTTTTTTAATGATTGCGTCCTCACATCATAACACAGCAGACCATGATCTTTGTCATTTTGTTAAATTAACAGTGCGAAACAATTATTATCATCATCTCATTCCGAATTCGTCTTTCAGCCAACGAGACCTGACCATCACTCTTGTATTTGTATTTTCAGAGCAACAGCGACTCTATGCCTTCCTCTAAGTCCTACACTCCGCTGGATGCCCTCTCCAACATGCAGCCGCCTCCTGGACCAGGCATCCAACATAATCACACCGTGGTGCATGGCCAGCAGCACAATATGGGACCTCCTCAGCACGTGCTTCCAATACCGCCCCATCAGTTGTCGCCAAGTAAGTTTGTTAAAATACTTTGTGGACTAATAACATAATTTCCGTTATAACAAAACATTTAAAATTCATATGTACAAGAACTGGTTGAAAACCGTCGACTTCACTCACCTCCTTTCCCTTGACATTCCTATCCGGCAATATTTTCTGCAGTACTATCTGTGTCCTCTGTGTCCTGTTATTCACATCTGGCTTATAAACTCAATGTTCGATTGTTCACATGATTTTCGAGACAAGCGTTGCGGTAAACAAGTGATAAGTTTCAAAATCACTCCGTACTAGTGGAAGTTGTTTTATTTTATTTAAAGCATATTTGTACGCAATCAAAATACATATTTCTCACTTCAAATTTAGTATTCGTTATTCTATGCTTTAAATTAATTCGTAATGTGCTTAGAGGTTACATATTTTTACCATGTAGTCTTCATTTTTGGTTTTTCAGCTGTCAATTTCCCGTTCTAGATTGATTACTTGTTATTATCGGTACCTTCATAGGTGGGAAGATTAAGATAATTTTAACTTGACAGATTATTTTTTTTAAATAATTATGTTTGCTTTTTAAATTTATTTTCTGAATAATTACACTTTAACTTTTTAAACAGACTAGAATAGCGCATTAGAGATTTAACGTTCAGTATGAACCAAAGAATTGGTCTTAATGTAAATAATTTTCTTGACATATGTATTGGCAAACTTGCAATTCGCGGATACACACGCATAAATGATGTGAACAGCGGTTTTCAGCGGATTTAAAAAAATTATATCTGTAAATATCCGCAATTTTGAAAACTGACACATTTAAAATGTACCCTGTATAGTTCCTATGCTAATAACCTTTAAAATATTTTAAAAGTCCTTCTCTTGATTGTGTCGTTTTTCCATTTTACCTCTTTTTGAACCATTTGTGTACATTTGAACTGAAAAAAAAAACGCATATCCGGATACATGGTTATAGATATGTGACGCAAATCGTTCTGATAGGTCGTCGCCATGGATGCTCTAGTGCTTTTTCATCGCCTCACTCGGCACCCAACTATCAACTACCTCCAGGACACCCACCCATGCAGGGAGAACCAGGATATGTACACGGTGAGTTTTTGTTTAAATTTATAAATTTTCGTTAAAACTGAAGCTGATATTTAGGAAAACGTACAAACTGTAGCTTCTACAGTTAATAAATGAAGATTTCATAGCCCCCACGTCCAACATCGAATGCATTTATTCGACAGTTGAAGTCTACTGATTGTTAATTATTCGATAGCTGAATTTATTTGACAGTACCTGTCACTACTCCTGGGCTTGGCTTAAGTGTTGCCAACAGTTCCCAAACGGTTTCCCCTAAATTTATGGTTTGAAACTAAACATCCGCTAGAAGTTCGGAATAAGTATTTAACCTAAAAGTATATTTTCCATTTAATAATAAAAATGGAATTAGAAATAATTATTCGACCATTATAACTCAATAATATTTATTAGTTTACAAAACTTACAATAGAAAATCAGACATTTCCACATCATCGATATCATCAAATTAACCATTTTTTTTAGTGTTGTAGCGGGAATATTAAAATGTTTACAACTTATACCATCTCTTACCACTATACACCGTGACCCAAAATGATGGAATAGACTTTATATTTGTTTTCCAGTTCAGATTAAAAAAAACTGAACAGATCAATTAGTAAATAGAAATTGTCACTTTTCGGCAATATTTTCTATTTTTTTGAGCCATATTTGACAGACCTATAACATTACCGACATTTTTTTTAATAGGACCCTCTATATTTTATAGTACCTATAGCCTCTACAGACGAATTCAGCGATATAAGGTTTATATGTACCTACTTTTTCATAATTGTCAAAAAATGGAGGAATTAAATGAAAACAATAATTTAGTACATACTACCTACTTTTTCTTACATCGAGGCGAAAATGTGGAGGTGCGCCATCTATGTATATTGTTTTGGAAATCTATATTTTAAAATAATTAGAGAAGACTCCGTTAAGCATTTTTCAAAACGTATGCCCATTCCACCAGAAGCCTCTAAAATTTAAGCAAGAAGAGTATTTTCTTCGTAAATGTGTGGTTTCAACAAAACATACACTTCGTTGTATTGTTAGATTTTTATACCCACAAAGAGCACAACGTATTAAAGGATTAGTTTTTGTATTGTACTCTTATTCAGAAAAATCACATTTTTGAATTTCATGTTATATTTTTCCGTTTTCCTTCCGAGTCGGTGGCTGCGAAAAGCAGTTAATGGTGCAGCAAATTTCCGGTAATTTTTCCACGTTACAAACTCGACAAACAATAACAGTAAAACGTAGGTTCTTGTAATTCACATTTCCCTCATAGTAAGCGAACTGTTAAATATTCGTTTATAGTGCGTTTTTTTTTCAATTAATTTATTCACGTTATAAACCAGTCTTTGTTACGTTGCAGTTATACTTGTCTAAGGGATTTCTGCAAACATAATTATTATTTAGCGTCTGTGGATATACTAGCACGACACTCGTAAACAAAGCTTTTATCTGTATTCCTTTTGCGTATATAATTAAATTCTATGAAGCGAATATGTAGAACAAAATACTAATTAATTAAACAGCGTTTGTTATTTAGCCCTCCCCGATTTATTTGATGAGGTAAACTGTTCGTTTGGATTATTGCACATAATTTAGAAAGCCCCTTTTCCTATTTTCTGGAGCTTTGTTGTGCTTACATTTGAAATAAATGGTTTATAAACTTTACAATTTATTCTACGACTACTACAGAGTGAGTAAACTTTAGCTGTGCCTTCTTCAGATTAGAAACAAAGTAATTAACTGAATAACATCAACACCAAATTCTTGAATCTTTGATCTGCTTTGGCTGTTCTCGGGCTAGACTTTGTCGGGGCGAAACCGCTATTAAAACCCCTAGGTCCGCACTTTTATGTTAATTTCGGTTCTTAAATGAATACACTAGGCACTATTTAAGCCCTTTTAAACGAAGCGAGTGCATAGTTGAAGACTAAAAATGCATTGGAAGTGGATTTCAGAAAATACTATTTTTTGGAAAATTTACGTACAGAATTTGAACTGATTTAGTCAACCCTTTGGTAGACATAAACTAACATTTTCTTATGAACATGTTAACGCCTTGTATTTGGAAAATCGGAAACGAAGCGTTTTTGAAACATTTTTGTAACACCCTACATTTAATACGATCTTACATACAGCGAGCGGAAAGATAGCATTTTACGCACTGCAGTAAAAAAAAACCGTTTCTTAATGTTACGTAATTATATTTTGAATTACAGCCCTACCAACAAACTTACCCAACACGCTTGTGATTAATTGGATTTACGGCTGTCGTATTTTTTGCCTCCTCTACCCACGAAATTGAAATTTCACATTTTAATTTAAGTTAAAGTAGTAAATTTCCCGTAAAAGTTAGATAACAGTGAAAAAATCGATGTGTACATTAACGTCAATAGATAGATGAATGTATTTAATTTAGGATTTGGGAAATTGTAAAAACTTGAACCATTTTAGAACGGTTAAGTTAGCTGTTCTGTTTCTGATTTAAGGGGGCGATTTAGTATGTATATTTTTACCGTGTAACAGAGCTTCAGATGAGGACACAAATCATCGAAGAAACTAACATAATTGAATATTATTATATATCAATGTATTCGCAATGGTTCCCGCTAGTGAGTGAGATAAATTTCAGTGCTCATGAGAACAGAAGAATAATTTAAATAAATGCCAAAGTACCATACTGTTAGTCTGTCAATATATTGCATTTACGACGGAACTAGGTCAAGCACAATAATCAAACTACTTCACTCACTAGAACGGACACTTAGGATCATTTGTATTTAATTTTCAGATTAATATTTATTAACAATTCTATAATTTGTGTGCTCAAGCAAAATGACAACATTTTACACACGACTCCATGTTTATTATATATGTAAACCAGAATTTTAGGGCTTCTAAGATATTCTAAGTATAATTAGTTTGTATGCTCTGTCCCAGGTGTCGCTACCCTTGAAAATGAAAGTGAAAACACAGAGTTGGTTTAGTTTAAAATGCGTGGCAAAATAAAGCATAATAATATTGTCTTTGATGTATAAATATGGGTAATTTTTTAAAAGTACCTAAGTAATAAGATTTTGTAAAGCTTAAGTAGTACGAATATATAACGCATAAAAAACCAATAATATGTACTAATTTTTCTTTATTAAGAATAAAGATTAAATTTTACTTACAGGGTGTCCCACATAAAATCGTTATTTATGTTTAAATAAATTTACAGCTTAAAAATTAGCCTAGCTCAGATAGATTTCTTCTTCAATCTACAAATCTACAAATCTTCAAGCTACTTACCGGTAAGTAGGAAACCACTGGATATTTTATGAAAAAAGTTACGACCAAAAAAGTAATAGATTCTAGAATATAACTAACACGATTTTAATTTCATATTGTCTTGACAATCAACTTTTGCTTATTTTTAGTCACTTACTATCGAAATAAATAAAATAGACCTCTGAGTTTGGAAACTGATATTAAGAAAACGTAGGGGCAAAAAATTTGAAATTTCGACCATATATAGCCTCACTATTACTCTATTGTGTGCTAAAATTTCAGTTGGTTTCGTTATCCCATTTGTTAGTTATTAATAAAAATGTTGAAAAAATCACGGTTTTCTGCATATAAAATTATTGGTACCTCTCACTTTAACTCGTCTTAATTTTTTTGTTAACTGATAAAAAAAATCCAATTTTTACTAACGATAAGTTGAACCATTGTCTTTAATATTGTAAAGGTCATTTGTCTCAAAAGGTCTTCTTTTTTTATTTTTAAGTGAAACATAAGGGAGTGCTATCTCCGTAAATATGGCATTCTTTAAAAAAAGAAAAAACTGACAGGTAGCAAATAACTGTAAACAACAATTTGAAAAAATATGTTAAAATAATACAGTTATAAATATGATATTCTTAAAAACAGTATCGGTATGGTCAATTGCGTTCACGGTCCGATGCAGAGTATACAGTATAGCCTTTATAACTGTATTATTTTAACAAATTTTTTCAGATTGTTGTTTACGGAGATAGCATCCCCTTCTGTTTTGCTTAAAAATAAAAAAAGAGCTTTCGAGACAAATGACCTTCACAGTACTAAAGACGATAGTGCGACTTATAGTCAGTAAAATTAGAATTATTTTTGTCTAATTTTTTTTCCTGTTATACGTTTTCAAGCGACCTCTAAAAAATAAATATCAACGAAGTAACAATTTTTTTTCATTGAATTTGATCAACAAAATAATAGAAATTAATTACGAGACACTTAATAAATGTCTCGAGGCAAAATTTACTACCGCACTGTGAGTATCAAATATTTATAATTTTTTAATTTTTTTAAATTTTTTTATTTTTTAGAGGTCGCTCAACTCTGAAAATTAAAATAATTATGAGTGACCTTTAGAAATTAAAATATCGATTTGAAATTTTCAGAATCGAGATTTTTTTCAACCTAGAAAATGATAAAATAACGGGAAAAAAATTAAACAAAAAAAAATTCAATTTTTGACGATTTTGGAAATTTTTAAAAATCTTGAGCGACCTTTAAAAAAATTTTTTTGAGCTGATTTTTTGAGGGGGTTCTTAAAACATGATAATCTAACATATTTTCACAAGAGACATGAACAAAAAATATTTTTTTTTTGGACCACCCTACTATACATATTATTCTCCAAACGTAATTAGTAGCAAGTTTCTATACATTTTAGTAATTAGGCAGCGTTTTTTAAATTAATACGACTCGCCAAAGTAAAAAAAAATAATTCAAGTTATATCATTGTTACTGAAAATAGCGGGTAATTTACGTATCGGATCGTTAACTTGAAAATATAAACATTAGACTGTTGACTATTCCTGTTATACGTTTTTTAAGCTTTTGAAGAAAAAACTACATGGAATTTTAAAAATTATATCTGTTTTTATAATAAAGGAATGGTAATTCTAAGATTGTTTAAGCTTATTAACTAAAAATTATTGCCTACTTAATAAAAAAATTATTATTGTCCTCGATAATCTATTAATGAT